AGATGCACCGACATGCAAGTCGCGCGAGGCGGGGGTAGTGCGCGCGGCGCGGGGCGAGGTCGTAGCTATACGATGCGAATTGGACGCAAATCCTAAGGTAAATAATAAAAAACTACGTAATTTTTATCTATACTATTATAAAGAGGAAGTATTTGTATTTTTGTATGTATTCATATAACTTAAAAACTGCCAATTTAAAAAATTCTTTCACCGTTTAAAAGCTATGTTATCTAGTAACAGGTAATATTCGCATGTTTCACTGTTTTAATTTCACGCGGACGTTGATAACAGCGATGTTTAATACTAGCTTTAGTTCGTGACTATTCGTGCGTAATTACTAAAAAAAAAACCGAAAATATGTAGTCTATACGTACGTATAGAACACTGAAAGTACTTTCAGTGTTCTACATTTGTGACAAAATTCAACATCTGTTTAGTTTATACATAACTAGCTGTTGCTCGCGATTTCGTCTGCGTGAAATTAAAAAATATAGCACATTTTACATACAGATAAATTACCTTTCTAACGGTGAAAGAGATTTTAAAATCGGCCCATTATTTTTTAAGTTATTTCAATACATACAAAAATACAAATCTTTCATCTTCATTATATTAGTATTTACATAACATACATCCATACAATATTTGTTTAAATTATTACGAAATACGTGTCTTTATGTCATTTAATTTTATTGCAATATTTGTACAGAAACCAATGACATATCGATGGTGGTTTAATAGTTCTACACACAGCAAGAAGGAACTCAAAACTTCGATTATGCACTCGCCTTATGATGAATTAGGTAAGTTATTAAGTTGTATAAGTTAAACTAATGGTTACAGTGCGAATTGTTGGGGTTGATAGCAAAATAAAAAAAAACAAAGTGACTTGATAAGAATGAGAACTCACGAGGAATCCTAGGCCTAGAATTTTATTAAGCTTTTCATCCTTATACAGGGTGTTAATGCGTCTCCATCAGCAAGACGTTACAAAAACATTTTTTTTTTAATATTAGTGTATTTTTGTTTAATTTACTAATATTTCCTTTAACCATCCCAATTATAAATAGTCAAATGGCGGGATTCGAATTCTAATATTTAGGTTACAAACTCTAAGAAACATCCATCTAAACTTTCGCATTTATAATATAAGTATGAAGTATTTTTTGTTTATTTTAGGATGTTTTTGTATCCCTGACAGGTACCTTTCAATACGTAGTAAATAGTTCAGAAGACTACGGGTGGGTGCAATGTTCGGGACAAAACTCCATCGGTTCACAAATTGAACCTTGTTTATTCCAGATATTACCGGCTGGTGAGTATAAAGTAGAGAGCGTCGGTGGCTCAGTGGTTTAAGCACTTGACTTGTAATCTACAGGTCTTGGGTTCGAATCCCGCCGTACCAATGTGATTTTCGATTTTTCGAATTTTCATATGTACATAATTTACCCGACGTTCTTACGGTGAAGGAAAACATCGTGATGCAACCTGCGCATATCGGCGAAGAAATTCAAAGATATATGTGAAGTCAACCAACCCGCACTTGGCCAGCGTGGTTGACTATGGCCTAGTCACCCTAACTTTAGGGTTGGCTCCGAGCCCCTCGGTGGGGACGTATAGTGAGCTGGTGATGATGATGATGATGATGAGTATAAATATGCTTATCATCATCACCATCATCATTATCACCAGCTCACTATACGTCCCCACAGAAGGGGAGTCTACCCTAAGTAAGGAGTGACTGTCTTAATCTACGCTGTACTTGCGAGTTGACTTCACACATATCTTCTAATATTGCTATATCATAATTATATTAAACTAGTTTTCGCCCGCGATTCCGTTCGCGTAGAATTAAAAAAAAGGAGTAAGTAGCCTATGTGTTCTTCCAGACTTCCAGACATCTATACCAAATTTCAACGTAATCCATTCAGCCGTTTGGACTACAAACTCTAACAAACATCCATCCATCTAAACTTTAGCTTTTATAATATTAGTATGATTTATGCAATTTATCTTTCAAATCATCTTGACGTGGATTTATAATTTATATTGAATATATTGCTGATAGATTGTGCATTACAATAGTTTAAAAGTCTACTAATGTGATATTGTACCTTTTCCCCGTTTTTTGTTTAAAAATGAAGAAGTTTTAACAGTGGTAGTGCCCGCTTTAACATGTTAGCAGCTCAGGGCCGGCACGCCCCCAGTAATACCACGACCACACAGAACACAGGCGTCAAATGGAAGCAATTCCGTGTTTCGTGTGATGAGTGTGGTGCCGGAGGCCTAATTTAAGTCCCTTTCTCTTTACCATCCTTTTCTTATAAGGAGAGGTTGGGAAGGGGAAGTGGATTTGACGGTGGAGGAGATGCATAGGAAGGTGAAATATCCTCTTTAAGTGCGTCTCCTACTCCGTCGTATAAGGGTAGGCAACGCATCTGCAATTGCGGATGTCTATGGGCAGCGGTCGCTTCACCATTTTGGCGGATTCTAGTGGCCGCTTGCTCGTTTGCCACCTTATGTTATAAAAAAAAAGTTTTTTTTATTTGACTACATGAGTTATAATATCAAGTCGTACTTTAACAACACTATGAAAAGACGAAGTTAACAATCTCACGGTAACAATTCACTAACGGCCTGTTTCCCTTACATTTGACCATTCGTTAGTGTGTTTGCTAACTTCATGAAATGCGTTTCTGAACTAACTTGAGTTTTATTCCTAATAAATCTCTGATAACTAGAAACTCCAGCAACACATAAATAGATTATAATACTTTGTGTGAATTTCTATAAGTCCAAAAAACATTTTTAGAAAAACCATCAAGTGTTAAAAACTGCGAAGTAAGGAATGTGACTTACGACTCGTTGTTAGTAAACTGCACTCCGGGTTACGACGGCGGAGTTAAACAGACGTTTATCTTAGAGGTTAGTTAGTAAATTATTTATGGGCCTGTCCCACCAAATTGTAAATTATCTGATAATATTCTAACGTGTAAAATTGATGGCAATATCGGATTATGTTACCTTAACCATTGCCGTCATTTTTAAACTATCTGAGCCTCTATCAGCCAGTGGTGGAACACGCCCTTATTCTGGTATTTTATTTATAAAAAAATTCCGTGATTAGCTTTCGCCTGCGACTCCGTCAGTATGGATTTAAAAAAAAAACAAAAGAAGCCTATGTTTGCTTACAAACTATCCTCTACATTTACAAGTCGCAGGCAAAAACTAGCCAGTGACAATATTTCTAACTAACCCTTAATCAAATCCCCATCTAACATTACTGTAAACTTTTTTATTTCTTTATTGGTAAAGTTAACTAGTACCAACTTCAAAAAAACCCTCCTCTATAAAAAATACCTAAAACCATCTCCTGTTTACAATTATCTCAAATATAAACTCTTATATTTGATTAAGAGTTAATTCTTAAGATTCAATTACTTGCAGTACTAATAAATTTTATAAAATTTCTTTAATTAATCTCACTTACTGGTCAATAACAGTCTTACAAATAAACGCGGTTTAAAGTTATATTTAGGAATAAACTGAGTATAAGCAAAATATGTACTAATATTTTCTTATACTCAGTTTATTCCTAAGTTTAAATTTATACCGCGTATTTGTAAGACTTTAACAAAATAGGAGATTCTCTCGAAATTGAGTTTTATTAAAAAAATGCAAATAAAAAAAAATTGTATACTCAAATACTCAAATATCTTTAGATATACGACACGGAGTCCAGTTTAATATTACGTAACATCACAAAGGAGTTGCCCACATTCGAAGTATCGGAGTTATTTGCTCGCGCTGCGCTAACTCTGTCCATACGAGCTAGCAACACTAAAGGCTCCAGTGATGCGTTTATTCTCACATGTAACCTTCTTAAATATCCTGAGAGAAGAACTGGTAAGAAATCAATAAATACACTAACAGTTATAGATAGTCGCGGAAATTCGCGGTGTTCTATTTTAATACTAGTTGTTTCCATGCGGCTTCACCCGCATGAAATTACGAAAATTTTATTTCGTTGTTTACGCTTGTCAAATTATCAATAGCTAATGTCGAAATGACATGTCATGATAAACCTTAGCAATCTTGCTTTCTTAGTGTTGGAAGCAACTTATGGTCTCTTTCCCACATTAGGGCTTTTATCCAAAATATTTACCCCCTAAGTTTAATGGCGTGAAAATATATAGCCTAAAGCGTGACGTAAGTGTTGGGCTTTTTATTAAAAAAAGAGTTATTCAAAAATATGCTATATTTGCATCTTAAGCAACAAAGAAGTGTGTGTTTACGCTTTATTATAATAGTATAGATTACCTTGTTTATTCCAACGCAAACTCATAACTAATTAGATAGCAGTAAGTGACGAAGCAATAATAAAGTATCCGAGTAAACGATTTTGGTACAGTCATATAAGCATTATATTGATTTTTGTTCCTCATCTCGTATCAAAATGTTCAAATGCATTTAAGGACACCGCCAGTTTCCCCGACTGTTCTCTGATAAATATAAGGACTAATATTAGTCCTATTTGCCTTCTTACTGTTTCATTATAAAGGAAATAGGTGTGGCAAAGGGGGTACATAAGATTACACAGAGACAAAACCCTTTTAACAAATCTAGCACAAATGGGTTGTCTTGTGGTGCAATACCACGACCACATAGCAGTGTAGTGGAAACCATTCTGTATTTCGTCTAAGGAGTTTACCGGAGGCTTAATTATAGTCCATTTCTCTTCCCATCCCTTGTTATAAAGAAGGTAAAATGAATTTGGTGGAAGAGACACATAAGAAAGGGAAATATCTTTATGTGCGTCGTCTATCAATTAAGGTGGCAACTCATTTACAATTGCAAATATCTATACCGTGGCTTCATTAAGGGCTTTTGCTTATTTATCACCTTTAAAAAAAACGATACAAACAGTTGGTAACTCACCAGCGGTGGTACCAGTACGTGTGGAGTTGACCACTCTGCTAGTAACGGTGCTGGTGGGTGGTGGTCTACTGGCGGTGGCCGCTGCCGTCTGCGCCACTATGTGCTACTGCAAATATTTCAACAATAAAGGTATGTTAAGTAGGCATATACTTCCACAATAAAGGTTAGATAGGCAAATACTTCAACAATAAAGGTATATTATGTAGGCAAATGCTTCAACAATAGGTATGTTAGATAGGCAAATATTTCAACAATAAAGGTATGTTAAGTAGGCATATACTTCAACAATAAAGGTATGTTAGATAGGCAAATATTTCAACAATAAAGGTATGTTAAGTAGGCATATACTTCAACAATAAAGGTATGTTACATAGGCAAATGTTTCAACAATAAAGGTATGTTCGATAGGCAAATATTTCAACAGTAAAGGTATGTTAGATAGGCAAATACGTCAACAGTAAAGGTTACCGGGTAAATTAGTAATCAGCAAAGTGTATTTCTTTGGCTCCTTCAATACGGCTCTGATGTACCAAGCATTATTTACATTAATAAATATATTTAGGTATGTTTAGTTTTATGTACTATAGTCATATTTACTTAACAACTTACAGCGGATTTGACTACAATTTTCTTTTTTAATCGTAATGGTCAAGTACATATATCGTCCATTGACCTAAACAAAAATTTTGTTTTATCAATGGACTAGCTGTTCCCGTACGGCTTCATCCGCATGAAATTATGAAAATTTTATTTTGTTGTATACCTTTGTCAAATTATAAATAGCAAATTTCAAAATGACATGACATGACAAACCTTAGCAATCTTGTTTTCTTGACTTATGGTCTCTTTCCCACATTAGCGTTTTTATCCAAAATATTTACTCCCTAAGTTTAATGTCGTGAAAATATATGGCTTAAAGCGTGATGTAAGTTTAGGGCTTATATTAAAAAAGTAATTATTCAAAAATATGTTGTAATTGCTGATATCTTAGGCAAGAAAGAAGTTTGTGTTTACGCTTTATTGTAATAGTGTAGATAAATCCGGTTTTTTCTTCTATAAATATATTATAATTTGTATAATTTATTCCAAATCAAAAAAAAAATAAACAAATATAATTTGCAATGTAATTGTATTATGTCGTAAAAAAAATCGGTTGGTTCATTTTTAAATTTACGAATAGGCTAAATAACAAGTTTAAAATAAAGTATAAAAATACTGCATACTTATACGTAATTTCTGGCAACATTAAACACTAAAATGTCATTTTGAGGTTAGGATATAAAATGTCTTAAAATAAAAAAGATCGCATCTGTATTGCAGTTGATTTGTATCTATAATTTACTGCCGGAGATGATTGAATATGGCCTCGTAACTCATGCGTTTTACGGCACATTTTTAGATTATGTCGTACGTTAAACGTCAAGTCTTAAATTTGGTCGACAGTTAAATCAATAGTTAAAAGAACTTACCTTTGACTAAACTATCGCACTGTTTAGTCTCGCTTTGATTGCTATGTGCTTATATGGATATATTACTCGATTTTTAGTTGTGCAACTAAACAGTTGAAGCTGCGATACAATCAACAGTTGTGCGACAGTTGAGTCAAATGTGTGCGGAAGGTTTTATTCCTTTTGTATGTAATTTTACAGTGTGTATATATTTGTTATTGTTATTAGTTCTGAGTAGCTAAAATATTCTTTACTAACCAATCATTTATACTGTTGTCCAAAAAATGAAACAAAATTAATCAATTTGACTAAATTTTTGTTGTAAAATGTTGAAGCCCGCTACATACGGACAGTTTTAACTGTTCACATAAAACAATGTGTGTAGCAAGCTTTTCTAGCTAAATTACTTATTCAACTAAAATACTAGCCTAGCGAACTTTAAGTTTGATTCAGTATCTTCTCTTGCCCTAATTACAGACGTCTGTTTCATTTGTGCCTTTTCTTTTAGAAAATAATGAAAAAGCCAAGAGGCCTCAAGACGAGACCTCCGACGTTCTACTGTCCGGTATGAAAAAGACTGAAAGTAATGATAGCGTAGGTAAGGAACGCTTTTTAAAGTTTTTTTTTATGTTTTTCGAAATACCATGTATTTTTTTGCTTTTAAAATCTAATATCTATTCTTAAAAGTCATGCTACTTTACCGACTAAATGTTTTTTTTTTTGCTTTTTTTATTCAATGTTATTTGATTTTTAAATTGATTTTGTTTTTAAGAATTAAATTCTTTAATTATTATTTTAATTTCAATAAAATCATCCTTTAATTTTGTAGCCAATTTGATATTTATCTAAATAATCTCTTCCACAGATAAAAACCCAGACATAATACCAATAAAATCTAAAATCAACGACAACTTTTCGATAAATTCCAACAGACCTTTGATGTCTAAAACTAGTTTGGACAAATTCGAGCCGACTTTCGACAGTTTCCATACATTGCCAAACAGCAGCCAATACGACACGAAGTATCGCGTGCAAACATACCAACAAATGGCGCCAATGTCCAACGTTGGCGCCAACGTTTGCTGGCAGCCTTGTGATAATGTTTATGAAGATTGGTTGAGATATAAAAACGCGTTGCCATTGGATACCAGTGATTTGGTAAGTAATAGTCTGCATAAACATTTATGCAATGTATACATGTACATTTATGCAATGTATACATATACATTTATGCAATGTATACGTATACATTTATGCAATGTATACATATACATTTATGCAATGTATACATATACATTTATGCAATGTATACGTATACATTTATGCAATGTATACATTTACCAATGTTCAGAATTGTATACTTTCGGTTTTTAAAATGTGTATACGCCTTGTAATACGTTAGGCTATGACTATTATTACTTGCTTTTTTTTAATGTTTATACTAGTTTCTAAAGTTTTGTAAATGTACATTTATGCAGTCCTGTACTTTTGCTTACTTTAATAAGTTAGGTCCTTACAATAGTGAAATTGTTGAGATAGGTTTGATTTCTCATTTCTATTACATTCGACTATTTTCTTCTATACATTATGTCCAATTTTTTATATTTTGTATCCCACTAATATTAAAGAAATGAAAAAAGTATAGAAAGTAAACATAACTAACTTTCTGGACATAAACCAGAAAGTGTTAAGAATGAATATGGATGGCTACAAAAGAAGAGGAAGACTGAAGAAAGTATGGATTGTGTGAAAGAGGATATGCTTAAGGAAGTGGATTCAGATATGGCTGATAGAGATATATGGAAGCAGCACATACTGTGCCGACCCTCCGTAAGGGATAAGGGCAAGTTGATGATGAAAAAGCATAAAAAGTTCAAACTATGTTATAATTTTTTAACACCTCAAGATACCGTAACTGTACATCAATTACTCTGTTTTATCCTAATTGAGTGACAATTTAGTTTTTATAAATTTTCTATAGCTACCATTGGAACAATTACGACCACCAGAAGAATATCTACCACCGCCTTTAGTGTACAGTGACACACTGCGACACACGAGCGCGATGCTACAAGAGTACGACAGGTACGCGCCGCGCGATCTGCGCGTGTGTCCCGTGCGAGTGAGCGCTGAGAACAACAGCGCGTATTACACACGTGAAACGGACTATACACGGAATCGTAAGTATCAATAAAAAACTACGAACCTCGCATCACCTAGTTTTCTTCTTTTTTGTTATTTTTTTAGATTTCTTCAGTCTGGTTTTTGTTTTTTTTTTCATTTTTTTAGATTGTTTCAGTCTGTATTTTTTTCGTTTTTTCAGATGACAGTCTGGATATTTTTTATTTTTTTTTGTTTTTTTTTTAGATTGATTCAGTCTATTTTTTTTTAAACTTAGTTTAGATTTTTAATATGGTAAAGAATATTTAAGTTGTCATAATATAGCAAGTATGTACAATTTGCAATGCTCTTTTTTTTCTTTTTTTCGTTCTATTTTATATTTATTAAGTTGTATGTTTTTTTTTTCAGTTTAGGTGATTAATACGATTTTATCTAGGATAATTAATTTAGCATTATTATAAATAATTATTGTATAGTTTCCTATTCTATAAGAAAGAGGTAGGGGAGGGGGTAGCTTTTTCAATTATTTTGAAAAGTTGAAGGTTTTCAATTTTCCTGTTTTTTTTTTTCTAGCATTATCGCCGAAACCAAGACTGGGGACAGACCCAAAAACAGGCGTCAATAAACAAATTGATACGAGTTTGGGGTCGACAGAGTTAACAGAATAAATTACATACTACCGTACTCAGAATCATTTAATCAATTATGAATCTCTTAGTGTAGATAAATATGCACTAAAAGACTGGTTAAATTATTTGAGTACGGCACTACCAGTTTTTAGTACTTAAGGTATTGAAAAGTACTAAATAAATCTTAGTACAATCGCGAGTAAATATATGTTACTAATTGGAGAATATACAGGGTGCTATTTATTTCCACTGTCGAAAAAAAACTATCACCTCTTAAACTCTTAAAAAATAAAATGGGTGAAAGTTTATTTGTTTTAAGCACCATTAGGTTAAATGTTTTCATTTTTAGAAAAAAAAAGACATAAAAGTAAATCCTGAAAATAATTTCAATTGGAAGATTTTCAGACCGGTTCTTGATTAAAATTACTATAATTCTGCATAACTTATTATTTATTAACGACGCAGAAAAATTCTTTGATTCTGAATATAAAAATATAAGTCAATATCGCCTAAAATGGTTGAAATAATAGCCTTTCACCCGTCGAAATAATACTTCAGTTTTTGTATTGATTCGTAGTGAAATTCGATAAGTACAGTCAGTTACAAAAAGGTATATAAAAAACTAACATCAAATTATTAAAAAAATAAAGCTGTATTTAATTTTACTTTTAAAAATGATGTTTATTTTGATAGTAAATTTATATTTGGTTAAAAACGCAATAAAATCAGTTTATAGTGTGGCTAAATAAGATTACTTTGACAATTTAGTAGGGATGGGTTGTGTGAAATCAGTCAAGAATCTTATCGACTTTCGATTTTTATTCTTATAGAAGTTAGAATCGATAGATAGTTATAATTTATGATTAAAAAACACTGCTTTCTCAAATTAATAATGATCTGCAGAACCATTACAAACAAGAGTAAATAAATGTTTATTACTACTACAGCCGTACTTAATCGTATTGCATTTCGCTATTATTTCTGTCATTCTCTACATTATAATCAATACTAGAATTGTTCCCTAAATTATTTAATAAGAAAATAATAATTTTAGTTGAGTTCGATAAATATTTAAACCGAATATCGATAGTTCACAATTGTTCGCTGCGTGTTTGTTTCGTCACTACGATACCTGTCTATTAAATATGGCATTTGTCTTCATACAAATTAAATTCGATACTTCATATGCGTCATTTATCAAACTAATCTATCTTATTTAGACAAACTATAGAGATATTTGTTTATACGAGATATTAAAATAAATTTTAAGCTTTAAGAAGAAATTTTATTTTAACCGCCAAAAAAGAATGTGCCAATATTTTATTTTCAAAATTTTTCGAAATCGTAATATTTATATTAAGATTAATTTAATTAAATGTTACCAGTTGTAATAAAAAGAATGAAAGTAATTTTATTTTGTATTAAATTTTATTATTTAATGTTATATTGTACTTAGTAAATGTTAATGAATACGCACAGTTAAAATTTTTAGTACAAATAATTGTGATTGAGAATTTTTCTTTTTGTTTTTTTTTTAATTGACACAAGACGATTAATTACTTACTATTACTTTTTTATTTAAAGCTTTTTGTTGTATTTAAAGCGAAAAAGCAAATTCTTTTTTCATTTATTTTCTATTAAAAAAAGCAATATGATTTTTTATTTTTAACGACAATAAAAAATTACAGTATAAAAAATGATATGTCGTTTATTGTTTTTTTTTTTAATTAGGGTAGATCATAAATTTATACTAAATTCCTCCCTTAGTGGCAATGGAAAGATTATAAGCGTAAAAAAACTTCGTATACAAATTTCATTAATACATATTTCTGATTACTGATTACTTTTGAGTATGTTAACTAAAAAGTTAATTAACTAAAGTAATACAGTTTTGTATGAGTTTGGAAATTTCAACGTATTTTTGCTCGCGACTGTACATATGTACATATTGTAACAAAGTCGTCTGAAAGTTATTTGTGATCAAATATATATAAATACATTCTCAAATGTATAATTATTAATATAAATTAAATATTTGTTAAGTAATAATGCGTTTTAATACCTTTTTTCTCCTTTAAAAGTTACATTTAATCATAAAACTGGCTTTCGCCCGCGACTCTGTGAATTAAAAAAAAAACAAAAGTGAACAGCCTATGTGTTCTTCCAGACTATCCTCTACATCTATACCAAATTTCATCAAAATCTGTTCAGCCGTTTAGGCTACAAACTAACAAACATCCATCCTAAACTTTCGCATTTATAATATTAGTAAGATTAAATATTCCTACCAAACAATTCATTAAACTTAAAATGTCTAAAAAATAACTAAATGAAAGGAAACTCAGTAATTAAGGGTTAATTAAAATATACCCGAGTGAAGATCTCGTACTTAGTTACCATCATAAAGGACGATTCGTAGTGTATTCTTACATCTACACTAAGTGTGTCCCTTAGCGACGATTGACGTACGTAACTACGCAAAGCTCATTTAGATTTACACAACATTCACAAATCATTCCCACTGACCACACCTATAGTAGATAATCGGTAGAATTTGGTAGAAATGAATAATTTAATTAACTCGCATGTATCGGATACCGACAGGAATATCTACAGGGAATTCAACGTCCAAATTAATGTCCGCTAGATGTCGCTGTTTAAACGAGATCTTGTTGCATAAATGCGAAAGATGGATGGTTGTTTGTTAGATTGCCGCCTAAACTATAGAACGGATATCAATAAAATTTGGCTTAGTTGCAGAGCAAACAATGAAATAACACATAGGCTACTTTTTTAATTCCACGCGGGCAATAGCTGGTTCTTTAATATTGACAGAAATTACTAAAAATAAACTACAGTAGAACCTCAATAACTCAAACCTCGGTAACTTAAAAACACTATGACATCAAAAAATAATGTTCCCTTCCCATCAAAACCCAAAACCTTTATATCATAGACCCTTGATAACTTAAAACCATAACTTAAAGTATTTTGTGTTTCCCTTGGACTTTAACTTATCAAGGTTCTACTGTAATTAATTATGCACGAGTGCGAGTGCGAGGCGCGACGCGAACGCGACACATACTTAACTCTCGCCCTGAAGAAGGACCCCCGCAGGGTCTGAAACTGGTCGGTGCCGTCACCGGAAAAACAAAAGCATACGTGAGTAAGCCGTAAATAATTAATTATAAAATGTCTCACGAAAGTTTAAATAATTTAAGGTTCTACTGTATCTTGATTATCTGTCTTTTATTAAAAAAAGATTTTTAACAACAATAAAAATACTCTTTCATATATCAGAATTCTCGTAGCGTCGGTGGCTCAGTGGTTTGAACACTTGACTTGTAATCTACACGTCTTGGGTTCGAATCCCGCCGTACCAATGTGATTTTCGATTTTTCGAATTTTCATATGTAGATAATTTACCCGACGTTCTTACGGTGAAGGAAAACATCGTGATGCCTGCACCTATCGGCGAAGAAATTCAAAGATATATGTGAAGTCAACCAACCCGCACTTGGCCAGCGTGGTTGACTATGGCCTAATCACCCCGTATTAGGGTAGGCTCGGAGCCCCTCGGTGGGGACGTATAGTGAGCTGGTGATGATGATATCAGAATTCATATTAAAACAAAAACTTTTACGTAATTTATTTCCTGTTTGTTACCAGTAATAAATTTATTCTATCCATAAATCTATGAACTCAAATCTCGTAATAAATCAAACAGGAACCCTTAGTCACGACATTGTGTGCGTAATTAAAAATACGTTATACGAGAGAAAAGCTGAAAGTAATTGTCGAAAAACATCCTATTGATAATGTAAACAATAGATTCTAAGACTGAATTTTCTTGGAGTAAAAACATTTGATTGCATGAACAATCATACTAATGTTATCAATATATAGTTACGCTTAAATATAAAGTAGTTAAAACATGACACAAACACTTACATACATATATACACACACATACGCATGCACACGTCCACACACACAATACACCAAGTAGCTTATAACAAAATATTTTTTTTTATGTAAAACTCTCATCTTATTTTGTAACAATGTATTTTAAATTCCGCAAGACAATCGTTAAAAGAAGACGCTGCCTCCTGAAACACAGTTATCACTACCTCAGGAGACAGAGTCCCACTAACTGTACTAAACTGTTTTATGTCAATAAAGGATTTTTTTTTATATATAGATATTATAAAATTTCGGTCGTTTTGGTGCATGGGCTAATAGCGAAGAGCTTTGACCCACATTTCAAGAAGCTCTTGCTAGACAGTTGGATTAAGGGCCCGATTCAAAATGCGGTTATTTTAGAAACCGCACGTATTGTGAGGAGGTTCCTGTCTGCAGCCCTGACCACTGGTTGCTTGATCGGATTCCGCAGCCGGTGGTGTTCTATTTTTATATATATTAAATTTTTTTTAAATATATTTTACATTATTTGTTATTAAAAGTATATATATATATAACAAATAATGTAAAATATATTATATATAAAAATAAGAAATAAAGATATAAGCTGGTTGATCATATTTCTGTTGCGAATTAAATGTACATATCGAATAATATATTTAAACCACAAAAATTAAGAAATAGTTAATTCTTTAGCTAAAGAAGTTATGCACCATTAAGTGATTAGTAAAGTAAGTTATTAACTTGTGTATGAGTAAGTAATTTTGATCAATCGTCCGAAGCAATACAAGTAAAATAATTGGTTACGGAGGGGCTTGAATTGGACTCCCTAATTAGCTTCAAATGTACACGTATATGACAGATTTTATTTACATTTGCCTATATTTTTATAATGAAATACAAATATTTACCACAGTTACAAAAATATTTATTAGTGACTAACTTTTGCTCGCGACTTTGTCCGCGTAAAAAAAAATGTAGTCTATGTTACTCAGTGAAAGTGTAGCTTTTTAATGGTGAAAGTAAAATGAAATCGGCCCAATAATTTTTAAGTTATTTCAATAATACCAAAATACAAAAATACAAATGTTTCTTCTTTATTATATTATTTCAATATGATAATCACCGATAACAGGAACAAAAATAAATATGACAAAACCCAACCTTTTCACATAAATAGCTTCGGGGAGCAGCTGTCAATTACTGGGACGTGATGTCTGGATGAAACGAGAAAAAAATGGCCGCCGCCGCCTCGCCACCGAGACTAATGGAAATCCTTGAATTTTTGCATATTTTTAACGTACGTAGTTTTGGAGTTCGTTAGTCCAAGGTACAGTTAAATAATGCTGGGTCGCTGAAGTTTCCATTTATTTTATCACCAACTGTTGCCCGCGTGAAATAAAAAAAAATGATAAAAAGCATAGCCTATGTTATTCACTGATAACGTTGCTTTGTAATGGTGAAAGAATTTTTAAAATCGGCGCAGTAGTTTTTGAGTTATTTCAATACATACAAAAATACAAATCTTTCCTCTTTATAATATTTATATGTATTAATTCATTAGTGTGAGGTTAAACCACAGATAATATAAGTTTCAACGGAGGAAAATTCGAGTAGTCCGGAAACGAATTTCATAAAGATATCGAACCAACACTAAATTGTTAGTAACTGGGAAACCGGCCATAAATAAAAAAATTGCGCCCTATTAAAGCAAAATCAATAGAATTTTACCACACCAAAACACGATTATAAGATTTTTAAATTCTCAGATATAACTAAAGATAGGAAACCAATATCCGGTAATAATCACGAAGTAACTCGTGCTGAGGCTCATGAGGGAGCCCTCAAGCTTAGTTACTCATAAACGAGGTTTAGGTTAAGCGCCTTGCGCTTGGCCACCTCAAGCCCGGTGAATCTGTAAATGCCTCTTCAAGACAAACAGTGGCAATAGTCACAAAAA